TATATATATATATATACATATATATATATATATATATATATATATATATATATATATATATATAACATTTTTCAGGATTCTTTCATGAACAGAAATCTTTTGTAACACTATAAATATCTTTACTGACACTTTTGCTCAATACTGAATAATAATTCATACTGAATAATAGTATTCATTTCTAAATCAAATTTAGGTAATCTTACTGACCCCAAACATTTTCCAGAAGAGACTCACCTTGTGGCCTTCCAGTGTGTAGAGCTTCCTGATAAGACACTGCATGAGTTCAGAGACCTCGTCCATGAAGAGCGCCAGACTGCGCAGGCTCCTGCGGTGCAGCACGATGGTCCTCTGGACAGAGGGGTCACTGTTTTTCACAAGTACAATCTTCCTGGAGTGCCTGTGATGATGGTGATGGTGGTGGTGGTGATCTTCAACCTGATCAGGAGCTTCCACAGGTCGAGTGGGCCTCCTAACTGAATACTGCTGAGAGTTTGGATGTGTCTGGAAATGATACCATGGGTTTGAGTAAGCTCCTGTGGCCTCTGAAGCCATCACCTTGGCCTGCTGGTGATCGGCACAGAGATAGCATCCATGATCCTCCAGCGACTCCAGTCTAGTCGAGTCGGATGAGCCTCTGAAGGACGCTGAGGAGCAGTGTCCATGGGGGAAAGGGGTCTTGAGAGATGGGTCGTCCATGATGGTGTCAAAGCATTGAAAGCTTTGCTTGTGGGAGGCCATTTTAACTTCATCCAATGGCCTGTGGTAGATGTCAGTTGCCTACAGGTTTAATCGGATGATAAAGGGACCACAGGAGAACATAGCAGGGCTATACTCTCTGGCCTAGCAGATCACACTCATTCATCCTCTCCTTCTACTCTGTAAAAGACAAAAGCATAAAACACATGCCCAGGTTAATATCACTAACAATGCATTAAGTAATTCTGCGTCAAGCCCAGGGAACATTAGAACAATGATGCAAATTGGACAGAAATGCAACTGAAATGGTTAAGGCCCATGAAACAAATGTGCAAGTATGAACTATGTAAGAATGTGGGCTGTATCTGGAATTTAAAATGTAATTTAAACCTGGAACAAACAAGTTTTTCAGATTCAAGAATAAAGTAAAAGTAAACAAAAATGTTATGATGTAAACTGAATAAGAAACTAGATTCTGCACTATTTCTAGGTGATTTAATTAATAACTATGCATATTTCAGATGTTCTCACTTCCACTGGTGCTCTTTGGATAACATGATCATCATGTTTAACACAAGTGCTAGTGTCTTACAAGTAAATACTTAAGAAATTCTGGAATTTATGTTGATTTCATTCAGCTATATTACTCTCGTTTTTAGAATAAAAGTATATAATAAAATATCTAAAACAATATAGAAAATAAAAATATTTACAAAATTAAAAATGCTTTATAAAATTGCAAAATTTAAATTTTTTTACTACAAATCTGAGACTTGGACCCCATTTTATGCTTACATTTTTATGCACACTTGCAAATTGTGCATGTTGCATACTTTCTCATATATGTTATATGAAACAAACACAAGAGCATTGATAATAAGAAGTCATTTTTACCTCTTTTAAGAGAATATTTCTTGTGTAAAGACAATCCTGATAAACTTGGGCATAAACTAATAAGCTTAAACAAGAGGATAAACTCACAAGCTTAAAAAAGACTGAATGCTTTTAACTCGATCCTGTAACGGGATCGAAAATTCTCTGCTAAGTGATCCAAACACAATATTGGAACATTTGCATGTCATGAAATTAAGAGTTTTTGGATTAATAATTGATATTTTATATCTAAATGTAATTTTTTTTGTACCTGAACCAACTTTTATCCCACTTTTCCTACCAGAATCTCATTAAAGTCTTTTCTCAATCACTTCCATGCACAATCAAGCTACTTTACATAAGACACGGTACCTTTAGAACTGAAAAGGGCACAGAGTCTAAGTGCTTTATGCCCATTGCAACTATTAAAACTGAAAGTATCTGTAGCACTGACGTCAAACCAAAGCTAAAACAAAAACAACAACAAAAATCCAGATTTAACACGTGACCTTAAACAGGTACATCTGCAGGAATCCCACTGGCACATCATGACATTATATTTGTGCCTGGCACACGCTACAGCTGAGGGAGCATTACTGAGCTCAAGACACAGAAATGATGGACAGATATCAGAGACTAAGCAGGGATAAAAAGAGCAGACTTCGCCTGAATTAGACTAAAGAGCTTATCTACAAGTGCAGGGAGAAAGTGGAAGCAACATGTGACAGGATGAAGCTGCAGTGGAAGCCTATTGTTATTTCTGATTCAAGTATAAATATGAAAATTAAATATTACCAAGTCGTGTGATTTAAGAAAGCAAAGTTATGAAAGTCAGAAACAGAAAGACTTGATTTGTTCAAAGAAAGGGTAGAACTCTAAATCAGTGAAATCTAACACAAAACCATTAATATATATTCTGATATTCTTATATTCTGATCCACATATACATTTTTTTTAAACAAACTGAAAAAAAGACCATGATCTCTTAAAAAATCAAATCCTCAGTTCCAGCTCTCTTTTTCTACTCGAGCTATCAGAACAAAAACAAGGAAATGACACAGCCTGAGAAGTTTATTGCATAACAGGACCAACTCGGACTCAAGTCTTGCAAAGCACATAATAATGCCTAATATACACTACCATTAAAAACTATTTGGGGTCAGTACGATTTCTGAAAGGAATTCAGTACTTTTATTCAGCAAGGATGCATGAAGTTGATCAAAAAGGACAGCAAAAGATTTCTATTTCAAATAAATGTTTTTCTTTTGAACTTTGTTCATCAAAGAAACCTGACAAAAAAACATTACAGTTTCCACAAAAATATTAACTGTTAATTAAACTGTTTTCAACATTGATAATGAGAAGAGTTTCTTGAGCAGCCAATCAGTATTTTAGAATCATGAAAGATCGTGTGACACTGAAAACTGGAATAATGGCAGATGAAAATTCAGCTTTGCCATTACAGGGATAAATTACATTTGGGAATTAGAATAAATGCAACCTCAGTGAGCATAAGAGTCTATTAAAATATATATATACAAGAAAATCAACATTCAATGGTAGTTGAATCAATATAGAGCCCCGTCTCCACTGCAGGAACTTTACCCAGGAACTAGGGACTTTGGGCCGGCACTTGGTGTGTTTCCACCACAGGAACCAGGCTCTAAATAAAGTTTGGGTAAAAAAAATTGCCCCTCAGAAAGTCCCTGCTCGTGAGGTAGTACTTTTTCAAAGGTCCGGAACTTTTGGGGGCGGGACTTGGGCGCTAAACATGCTGATTGGTTGAGTTCACACAGCATTGTATTTCAACCACCATTTATTTGGATAATTTTCAAAATATTACTGTTATTGTGTCATGAATTGTAGTTTTAAAAGTATTTCAGGCGAGAATGTAGTTGTTTAAAACTCAAATCTGCGGGGTTATTTATAAAGACAGTGCCTATTTAAAAATGTGCTTGGCCGATTTCGGAGACGTGAGCTCCACGCGATCAGCGGGCGCTCAGTTCTAATGTTTCCCGACGAGAGCAGCAACAGCAAAGCCATCAACCCGGCTAGTCCTTCTGACATTTTCCACTGGCTCCGATGTCTCAGTGGTTAAACATAAGATATAATTTGTTTTGGGTAAATCTAACAGCTAATCTTTGGTCTTTATTCTATTAATCTATTAATATGTTAAAATTAAAATAAAAAGAGGCAATAGCCTACTGTTTGATATAATATTTAGTTTCATTGTAATGTAGGCTATATAACATTCCCTGAACTACATTTCTGCGGCTATTAATACGTTTAAATGAAAACAAAAGTAGGCAGTGGGTGTTTGATATCATATTTCGTCTTATTGTAAATACAGTGAGGAAAACTGGAGTAGCCAAGGTGAGCTGACGGACGTTATCAACTAGGCTGCTGTTTGCAGAATTACCGGACTTGCGTCGCCCCATCCGAGGGAGTTCACTCGAACTCGCAAAGTCTAAACTACCGAGGATGCAAGTCCAAAATTTGCGTAGCCTTCTTGGTATTGAGAAACGTGCGCAGACCTACTTGCCTATTCTTCACGGTACTTTAGACCGCAATGGAAACGCAGACAGCAACAGGTCTGGGGGAAAAAAAGTTCCTAGGACAAATTGTTCCGGGTAATTTCAGTGGAAAAGTGGCTTAGGTTATCAAAAACTAGGACACAATGGGAAAAAAGTACATATGTGCAAAAATTATATAGTGAACAAAATGTCCTATGATCAATGTCATAATTCCAGGATAGCACAAATTACTTTAAGAAGTTACATTTGAAGTATCATTGATGTAATGCAGTGTCACTGATGTAATTCAGATTACAAAATGTGGAACTAGGAAAGCTGAATCTGGCAATCTGCATCCTTCTTTCTGAAAAAAAAAGATGTTCTAATAAATTACCCAGAGGCCTGTTCCAATATCTGCTTTTGATGAGAACATTTGAAGAAAACAGAATGTAAACAAATAATATAAATCATATGATATCAATTATGTTACCTAAAACAAGTAAATTATTGAGATACAGAGGATCTGTAAGCTCAAAACAGCATATGAAAAAGATGTTAAACAAGCCTGAGCTAAGGACGTTTTAAACATCATGAATATCCACAGAACTTTGTAAATGCAGGCAGAAGTTTTCAACTCTGACTGGTACAATACTTTCAATGCATCCCAGATAACTGCAATGATGTTTCTCATTATACTCCAGTATTATTGCATGCACCTGTGTTGATATCCTTGTAGTCACATAATTTAGATCTACTGAATACCAAGACCATCAAAAACACCAACTGAAGCTCAAAAACTGCAGATAATTGTTACTTTTACCATAGACATATTCTAAACCAATGAGGTTTCGCCAAGGTCAAGGTAATGACTCTGAAAGCACCCTTGATGGTTTCAACTAACTGCGATCTAAAAGAACCAGGACATTCTCCAATGTAAACTCAAACTGTTCTTTACAAAGGACTGCAAAATACTCACCATGATAAGAACCATGATCTCAATGTTGAGAATACCAAGAGCTCAGAAAAGCATCTTCTGAGTTTCCACACAATGAGAGTTGAGAAGGAGCAGAAGCTGCTATGAACTGCCAGCTGAAAAGCACTTGTCCCACTGGGGGCCTACCTGCTAATCGGTCCTTGGGAAGCTAAGGATAGAACGAAAAGCCTTCTTAATCACTCTGAGACTGCATCAGAATCTGTTGAGCCTTTGGACACATGACTAGAACTTGGCCATTGCATAAAAGAGCAGACAAACTTAGCACATTGTCAGTGAAAGAACCTCGAGGACACTTATAGTTGATAGCATATGGTTGCACAGAGCAAATAAATAACGCTTAAGCAGCCTCAGTATGTGATGGATAAACATTCAGCTGAATGCTGGAGTCTTACCTAATAAAACTGTTCAGAAGACACAATGTAGTTAATGTATTTGATTGTTAATCAAACATATATATCAAAATTCTAACCAATATAAGCTGATAATTTGCTGCTAAATGATTGGCATGCTCTTTTGTATAGTAGACAAATAAAAAACACTTAAAACTAGAATCAGTTTTTAATGCTTTAAAGTGATTGCACTTAATAAGCATCGTTATATTATAATGTACATTATAAAAAATGGATATTCACTTTGGGATTTGCTGAAGATTACATTTAACAGTGTTATTAAATTATTGGTGTTTTTAAAGATTAACTTAGGTTGAATGTTAAATTATGGCAAATGTATTCTAAATGTAAAAATAGAGGACATGAGCATGAACAAAGTAATATTCAATAGTGATATCGATAAATTAAAAGGTCTCCAATATTGGCCAATAACTTCAAAATTCTGTGGTCAGTATGATTTTTTTAATGTTTTTTTTTTAGTATCTTATGCTCACCAAGGTTCCCTTTATTTGATCAAAAGTACAGTTAAAATATTAATATTGTGAAATACAATATTATTACAATTTAAAAGAACTGTTTTCTTTTTCTATTTCAATATATTTTAAAATGTAATTTATTTTTGTGATGGCAAAGTTGAATTTTCAGCATCATTACTCCAGTTTTCAGTGTCACTGATCCTTCAGAAATCACTCTAATATGCTGATTTGATGCTTAAGTAACCTTTCTTTTTATCATTGTTGAAAAGTTTATTAACTGCTTAATAGTTTTGTGGGAAATGTGATACTTTTTTTTCAGGATTCTTTGATGAATAGAAAGTTCAAAAGAACATCATTTACTTGAAATCTATATTTTTGTAACATTATAAATGTATTTACTGTTACTTTCAGCATAAAACTAATAAATTCTGTCAAGAACGAAAAATATCTTTCTGACCCCAGACTTTTTAATGGTAGTGTAAAGACTGCATCTTGCTACTGGTACTGATAATAAGATAGATTACCATGGATGGAGTGAAAAGTAATTATTTTGGTTACTAAATCCAAAATTTCTGTCTCTGTCAGTCAGTCGGACATCTATAGTACCTTATCGCTAAGAACAGAGCTCAGGAGGGTATCTAGGATGATCCAGTTAACTTGATGGGTGGCCCAGATGGAAATGGATTAATGGCTCTTATTCAACAGTAATTAGAACAATGCATATCACATTGCTGTCCTAAGGCCACGGTTCTGATCTGAACCAGCATTATTTTCATCAAGGCTCTGCCGGCAATGACAAATTCAATTGATCATCTACATAAAGCCAAGAATCTAATACATAAAATCTTTTGCACATTGCCGACTCAAGCCCACTGGCACGCAAAGAGCACAAATCAGCTCGTTTGATTGCTCAATCAAGTACATTTTTAGAACTTTTGTGACTCAACTTTTCTTTTAGAGTAAAAATACTTTAAAGTTTGCTTGTATATTATTCACATATATCCTGAACACAGGCTGTTAAGACTTCTGGGAATCAGCGCCAGAGGTAGGAAACAGCTTGTTGCTGAATAATGGCCACAAACAAAAAGCTAACTACTCAAGGCTAGTCACCTGCTAATGTCACTCTTATCAGAAACTGCAGCTTGTAAAGATATCCCAACCCCGGTTACAACATATTATCTGGAAATTGCAAGGGTAGAGATGCTTATTCATCCGAGAGAGCGTCTTTCTACGAATGCACTAAGGGTGAACTTGCGGTCTTGCCATCTGTCTGTGTGTCATAAGAGGCTTGGCTGAGCGGATGGGTGAGTGGGGATATAAGATTGTTTTTCTCCTGAGTCATGTGCCGTAAGACCCCTGTAGAGTTCACACCCCGGCCTCCTCCCTCTGGGTCTTTCCTGAGTTAAAGAACCTCCCTAAAGATGTGGAGCCAGAATGCAAATCGCTGCAAGATTTCCAAGAGAACATAACAGATTTCTGGACATAAAAGATGGCAACTAAGATAAACATATATAGTTGTTTTTTCGACAAAATATAAAGGTTGTTAAAAAGACGATCTTCTGAGCATGAATATATAAGTGTAGGATGCCGTAACTGAACCTAGAGGTTATAATAAATGATCATTACTCTTAGCAGGACTCCTTTTGTCTGGGCCACACGTGAGCTCTGACATCTCGGCTTAGCTGCTGCTTCCTGCATGTCAGGCCTAATTACTGCAGAACCTGCTTTGATACAAGCTGTAGCTATGTTTGACTATTTAGTCTTTAAGGCTACATCTATATAACATCAAGTAAAATGTTATTCTTGAAAGACAAAATTAAACTCTTAAAGCAAAGGTTATCATATGGCTTCAGTAAACGTAGAGCATACAAGTCAAACAGACTACGTTTATTATGCATTACTTGTTTTTGCATATTTTTTAATCTCTAGTCAACCTTGAAGTATTGATACTTCATCGAAAGGATCATCCATCCGGCACAGGCTTTTTTTGTTCAGCAAAGAAGAAAAAACGTACAGAAACATACAGACATGAATGTAAGCAAAAATCATTTTCATTTTTGAGCAAATTAATCTTTTCGGCCTATACAGAAAATGGCAGGGGTGTGGACTCGAGTCACTTGACTCTAGACTTGACTCGGACTCAAGTCCCAAATTTGATGACTTGCGACTCGACTCAAAATAATTAAAGAAGACTTGAGACTCGACTTAGACTTTGACAGCAATGACTCGAGACTTGACTTGGACTTGAGCCCTGTGACTCGGAAAGACTTTATGATCAGATCAAAGTCATTATAGACGGGTCCCTGCAGCGTTGCGCTTGACTGGCAATACACCAGAGACTGCGTTCAGGGAGCGCTGGATAGGCTAGTATAAATTACTGGAGTAATAGCATAATTTACGACAAAAGAGAACAGAGATAATAAAAATAACAAATGACATGATTCGTCTAGTAGCGATCTCCGCTCGTGAAAAGCGCTGCCCTGTCCGTTTGATTGCTGCCCAGCAGATACACGGAGCGGGCATGAGAAACGAGAGGCGCGGCCGCGATCACTTCACTGGTGCTCGCCTCATCATCAGTGTGACCGCTGCTGTTAAATATTCCTCACTGTCCGACACCGAGGTGCACCATGAGCGACGGATTCGCATCCCGCCACTTCCAAGAGAACATAACAGATTTCTGGACATAAAAGATGGCAACTAAGATAAACATATATAGTTGTTTTTTCGACAAAATATAAAGGTTGTTAAAAAGACGATCTTCTGAGCATGAATATATAAGTGTAGGATGCCGTAACTGAACCTAGAGGTTATAATAAATGATCATTACTCTTAGCAGGACTCCTTTTGTCTGGGCCACACGTGAGCTCTGACATCTCGGCTTAGCTGCTGCTTCCTGCATGTCAGGCCTAATTACTGCAGAACCTGCTTTGATACAAGCTGTAGCTATGTTTGACTATTTAGTCTTTAAGGCTACATCTATATAACATCAAGTAAAATGTCATTCTTGAAAGACAAAATTAAACTCTTAAAGCAAAGGTTATCATATGGCTTCAGTAAACGTAGAGCATACAAGTCAAACAGACTACGTTTATTATGCATTACTTGTTTTTGCATATTTTTTAATCTCTAGTCAACCTTGAAGTATTGATACTTCATCAAAAGGATCATCCATCCGGCACAGGCTTTTTTTGTTCAGCAAAGAAGAAAAAACGTACAGAAACATACAGACATGAATGTAAGCAAAAATAATTTTCATTTTTGAGCAAATTAATCTTTTCGGCCTATACAGAAAACGGCAGGGGTGTGGACTCGAGTCACTTGATTCTCCGCTGCTGTTAAATATTCCTCACTTCTTTTGTTTGTCCGACACCGGGGTGCACCATGAGCGACGGATTCGCATCCCGCCACTACCCTCGCACTCTGCCAACTCGATGTGCTTTCATTTAAATTTTTATTTGTAATAAACACCTCTCTGAGACCTGTTTTTGTCAGATCTCCACTGTTTTTGTTCGATCAGTTATATTTTAATTGCATGTGCATTTTTTTAATTTATTTAAACCTCCATTAACCCTTAAATGCATGAATGTTTCGCCAATCATTATATTCGGGTCTTTAGCGACCCGGACCTATATATACAGCACGGATGGATCTTTCTTTAACTGCTGCAATAGCAAAAAACTCTCTTGATATTTTAAGAACAATTACAGAAGAATAAAATGAAGCATATTTCGTTACCTTTTGAAACGTAAAAGGGTTCAATTTGAGCAGATTATTTTACCATGTTATTCCTGTGTTATTACTGAATTATTCCTGTGTAATTACTTAATTATTCCTGTGTTATTACTGTGTTATTCCTGAGTAATTTCTGTTATTACCATGTTATTTCTGTTATTACTGTGTTATTCCTGAGTTATTTCTTTTATTACTGAGTTATTCCTGTGTTATTACTGTTTTATTCCTGTGTTAAGAACATGTTATGCCTGTGTTATTCCTGTGTTTATTACTGTGTTATTTCTGTTATTACTTTGTTATTCCTGTGTGTTTCCTGTGTTATTTCTGTTATTACTGTGTTATTCCTGAGTTATTTGTTATTTCTGTGTTATTTATGTGTTATTACTGTGTTATTACTGTGTTATTTCTGTTATTACTTTGTTATTCCTGTGTGTTTCCTGTGTTATTTCTGTTATTACTGTGTTATTCCTGAGTTATTTGTTATTTCTGTGTTATTTATGTGTTATTACTGTGTTATTACTGTGTTAT